TAAAATCTACCTACGTTTACTGCCAACAATATAATAAATGCCGCATGATGTTGGCACTGTTAGAATATATATAGTTTGTCAGGTTAATGATAGGTCAAGAGGGTTAAGCTTTAACGGCAAGAACTATTCATGTGAAGTCCTTCATCACCTGATAGACACAAGGTTAATCACGTAATGGATACTACAAGGAGAGACATACGTTACGCGGGGCGACCAGAAATCATGGCTGATGGGACGGGATATACAATTGACATGTGAAATCAGACCGCGGCGACAGGTAGACTGGATCCTTGCTGTGTGCCACTTGACCTGGTATAGCTGCATTTACGACGGTCAACATTTGTTCATATGTAGTTTTGACGTTAGGGCCAACACTGATAAGTTTCACTTTTAATTTCTACCTGCATTTCACAAGTGCAATACGAACCGGTTCTACACACGGACTGATAAACTTATAAACAAAATCCTGCTCAATAGATTCATATTTGGAAGCAAATAACAGCAAGTACATTTTGCTCATTATTGCTTTCATGGCCTTGATTGAAGAAAAACAGCTCACAAAAAGAATTACGCTTTGTCTAGATGAGACATAGTCCATCGAGATTGTCAGCAGTTATAAAGTTGTTAGTGGATAACAAGACGAGTTCTTTGCAGCCATTATAACGTATCAGATACTAATTGGTGTTAAATGTTCTCTGTTTTTATCATGAAAACGACTTGCACTTGAGTACAACCATACTGTAAGGTCGACAAGGTATGTAAATCGATGCACTAAGTACGCGGACAGTGATCGGATACGTCTCAGTTGATTAGCGGGTACTTTTATTCTGCTGCTATGACAAGTTGTTAAGTCTTACATCGAAGTGCTCGCTCAGGTCTAAGTACCATTTTATTATTAAGCAAAAATGTTTAGCCCACGTGTAAGTTGATAAGATTCGGGCGCATTGTGAAGGCGTATTCTTGAGCACCAGGTGCTGTTATTTGTGCACTTTCGTTGCTCTGTAAGATATATACAGTGAGTCTAGGCCTATATTTCGATGAACTGCTAGGCTCTCCTAGTTTTGTTTTGGCTACCACTATCCAAGAGTAACGGGGCAAGCCCGTTCATTCAATTTTCACCATATTAGGCTAATGTGGATAAAATCACAATCCTTACTATCTGACATATGTACCTTCCTAATTGAATACTGGAGAATAATATTTGAAGGTAATATCCAACACCGCTTTACTGATCGGCTCGTATGGACCATCATAATTACCATCATGAACACGAATCGCTACTAGACGCGCGCTATGGCTGATGCGCGAATAGCTACATTCGGACTTTGTAGTAAAATTTAGCGAAAGTGAGATCTAAAGAGGATTTGCTAGGAGATTTAGTCAGATTAAAATAATCATGATTATTCTCGTCTGATAGTCTTCTTATAACGTTCCTCTGCACTTACCATGTTTTATATAAACGTAGGTGAAAAAGCTAGTTGCTAAGTTGAAGAAAGGCTCACGGGAGGGTCGAAAACCGAAAAGTGAGTTGTATAAATCAATTTGTCATTTCCTACTGTACAAACTTGCTTTTTTTGTTGACCACTGATTAAATTACGTAAATGATTGGATGCAGCGACCTACCCCTTTTCTCGTTGATGTAGAATACGCCATGAACTCAAAGATAGAGTACGTCACTGCCTGACAGGACGGTGCTGGTGAACCCCAAACACCACGATTCGATGGCTCAACTTCTATCTCCCAGGTATCAAACCGGTGACATCTGGTCGTCTCTGCCAAACCTTCCTACTTGAGTCACATTGCATGAGTTACGCCTACTTTTTCAAGTCTTACGTCATACTAGCATTTACACTAACCCATATGTGCAATGCATAAGATGCACCAACCCATGCGCCTAAATATCACACTTCTCATTCGTTCGCATATCTCTTTTTAATACCGTTTGCGTGTAGTTCGGAGGAAACTGCTCACATTGTGTCATTTTTGATAGCATGTGCTGTGTCATTTCTTGAGGAGGGCATCCGTTAAACCAAGTGACTCTTCAGCCAAAGGTATTTTTTGATTAAGTGCTTTTGTAGCTGTAGCGGAGCTATACATCTAGTTAAGCCAGAGGAAGACGTTAACGCTCAACGAGCAGCATAATTTAAAGAGCTCGACTCAGAGATCCAACAAGCTCAAAGATCATACGGCCCTTGTTTCAGGAAACCAAACGATTCAGAGAATCACAGCACACATTGCTCAAGAGTAGCTGCCTTGACACGGCGTTTGCTAGATTATTTACCATCGCAGGACGCTTTAGGAAGGCATGTGTCTTATAAGGATCAAAAGGGGAACTGAACTTTATTTGTTTGTATCTCAAAGAACGCCTCAGACTAACATACTTAATATAGATACTAATTTTCCAGTAAATACATCTTACAAGATCTCGTGTTTTTGGTGGCTCACACACGCCAGCCCGCAACAACTGATATGGTGTTCGAATATCATATTTCATTTGACTTTGTCCCTGGTGTAAACCGCACATGTTGTGTAACCCCGTTACAGTAGCTGTACTACAAACCGCCCTCGTATTCCCGTCGATGTAGATTAGTTTTCTCGACTGGATATGCTTTTTTGCTGCACGAAGAGCGTCAGACACGTATGAAGCGAGTGTTTACATTAGGAATTTACGCTGGCTTATAAACATCGGTTTGGGAAGAACGCTATAGTCCAAAGGCGGGATAATTTGTCGAAACCTGCCTCCTGATACGATGTTCTTCCGCATACCTTTCACCTTTTTCCTCCTCCTGATATGATGTTCTTCTTTATTCAGTCAACCTGTTTACTGTTCCTTATATTAACGCATATATACGTTGGAGTAAACATTATCAGAGCGGGTCGATTCGTCATTTCGTGGTCACTCGATCGCTGTCTCTTCGAGCTCTTCGATATTCCACGATGAATCTGCCTGATAACAGCCTCTCATCCGACCATTTCCTAGCATCGGTAGTAGCAACGTCGGAGTAGCATTCGAACAAGTTTCTCATCGAGCAAACGAGGATTTCGACGTTTTCGGCACTTGCGTTGGCAGCGTCTGTGTCAAATTTCAGGAGGGGGATAAGCGGTATGTCATTTAAAGTACCAACGATGCAACCCATCTGTAGTTTCTACGATCAAAATATGCGGAAACTGTACTTGCGTATGTTCTTTAGCTCGCGCAAGGAGTCTGATCGCGTGTTGTCTCCACCTATGTTTCTTTTTCTCCTCTCTCAGTATTTCCTCTTGCAATGTGCAGCTCTACCTTTTGTCTCACGATGGATTCTTCTCTTTCGCGTATTATTTATCAACGATAAGACTGGCATATTAATATCTTGTCTCGTTGACTACGATTTTATCAAAAGTCTAAGTAGCAAGACAGTTGCGGCTTTTGTGATTGTATGCACGAGAAGGAAAGACCATCGTCTTCTGTTATTACGATTAGCCACTCCCCTTTGGATGACCATTGCTGTAATATAATTGATGGTATGCCCTTCCGATTTGCTCTCGAGCATTCATTGTACGTACAAAACAATGCTTGAGTGAAGTACAATATGCCCTAAAGCTTTACATGTCTTGAAGGTCCAATGACGGTTTACCACCTTTGCCCAACAAGCAAGAAGGTGCATAAAATATTGTGCATGAGATTGATGCGTGCGAAGCTACACATTATGTAGTTGTCAAAGCCCAGTGGGAGAATATGATCGTGAGCGCTTTTATTTGTGGCCGATTTCGACACCAGTTGTGTGCTTGAAGGCTCAAGTCTTACCGTACGGTATGCAATTGCTATGCCAATGGACTCGTCCTTGCCGGAGAAGTGAGTTGTACGGTCTATGTGAGTTCTTTCCTGCAAATCATCCAACCAAAATGGTACAAATCCGATGTTTGAGTCTGCGGAGCATGCTGTCGCCGCTATTTTGTCGCAAGCGTCTTCACAAACGGATAAGTGTGACGATACAGGTGTAGGCAAAGTGCGTTGACGCAGTAGGAGGTTGATAAGATTCTGTATTCAATCGTTGTCTTCTCTTCTACCTGCTGAGTTCTCAAAGTCATTTACACCCCCATCTTGACAAGCAGCTGCTTTGCTTCCAATCTAAATAGATGACGCTAATCGACTCCGACCTATTGAATAGCTAATGCCGCGCTTTCCTACAACAGGTCGTTGGAATTACATACCTGTAAAACACTCCAAGATGGCCGCAGAGGTCTCGCCGCATCAGGTGGGTGGGGCTTGACCGCGGCTTACTTCCTAGTCGCAGTTGTGATAGTTCCCTGTCGGTCCAGAGTTTCGAAGCTTCGTTTGCTATGCAATCAGATGAGCCAGATCGAAATCATTGTTAGTATAGCCTGCAGCTTCAATCTCCATGGTTCAAGTCCGAGTTGTTCAGCTATGAGCTCTGCCCGTTAACAATTTCTTGTTTTACCGTAGGTAGGGCGCAGTATGCAGGAGAAAGCAAAAAGGTGGCGACAGGTCGATCCAAACGTTGTCATCCGTATGATAGTATACGCAATGTCGTGCATAGTACAATTGGATGGATAGACCTCCAGGCAACGTGGTGCATGGCGACAATTTGCGGTCCTTGCTTTCCAAAGTCGAAGCATGTTTTCCATTCAAAGCTCCATTTAGTACTCTCATCGACCTTTGCATCCTGCTCCCTTCAGCGCCTATGGCAATCGTCTCTTCAACCCTTAGCCATCTTGATCTCAACACCATTTCTGCAACCTCAAGGTAAATCGGGGCATGACAGAAAACCTTACTCTCTGCGTAAAGAGCGCCTGTGGGCCTTGCAGCTAGTCGTACGCTTTGGCAATTTCACCACGCATAGCACAGTAACAATGTGCCGCAAGATGCCGGGAATAAGCGATCTTCTTTGTCAGGCCCCCAGCGCACAATGGAGCGAGCATGTTGCTTTGCGTCTTCTCAGCGATGATGGCAGTCCGGGGTCTCGGGCCTACGTATTGCTTAGGCATGGGCACCTCACTTGTCAGCTCGTGCCGTCAACGAGACTCCACATTTCTCTAAGCTCGCCAGGCATCGTGCTTGGCATTTGCCAACTGTCCGCTGTTACGTACATCTGCCGGCTACAAAGAAGCAATACATTGGTGTATTCCACGACTTTGGTCTCATTCATGTGAGTCAGCTGGCCCAACAGCGCAAGCATTCTCACACAAATTGTCGAGACTTGTTTCGCGCTACCGGCGCACGCGGTGAGCCCGAAAGGCAGCAATGCTGCGGCATCACTTTTGTGAGCGGTCCGAGGTCGCAACGTTTCGAGTACATGTTTCTCGTAGCTCAACGTTGAGTTCCAGGACAAAACACTTGCCAAAAGAGCAAACAGCGCACGGCGTTTGAAGGTGTTTGATTGGATACAAGAGTCGAGTGTGGACACACATCGACTAAAAGCGTCGATCACGTCAAGAAGCGAAGACACATTACCACCAGGTCCCGTGTGCCGCGCAACGAGATCGCCAATCCTAGCGGTGAGCGGCAACAAGTACATGTCAACGTCATGCTCATCTGTCCACTCAATAAAGTCGTGACGCAAAAACCATTGAAAGAACAAGGATGTCTCGCGCTTACTCACGACAAAAACATTGAGCTTTGCAAGCTCAGTGACAAAGATGCCACTCCTCCACCAACTCCAAGCTGAAGAGCCCACCACTTCCGGTTTCAACATTGTGTCAATCACGCTTCGCTCGCCGTAGTCAAGATTTGAAAGAACACGGGCTGCAAAGTGCTCCACCTGACAGGAGGCATGCACGTCAAAAGGAAACTCCGCCACTACTTTTTCAAGAACAAATTTGTTCACCACTTCCAGGAAGTCGCCTGGAGTGCGGTCAGCTGTAGGTTGTAGGACATCGCGTAGCATGAATGTCCAGCTGTCAAAGAGAAGAGCGCTGCGGCTACTTGAGACATCACGACGCCAAATTTCCTTGAGAGCGTCGAAAGTTGTAATCAGTAAGGCCTTCAGTACATCAGTCGGAATACGGGCAGCTGCTGCTGAGAGCCAAGCCATCAGTTCAGCCTGAACGGCCATGTCGGCATTTCCAAACCAGTCGCCGGATAGCAACTCGCCAGCCACGAGTTTGTCACAGCTACCTTGCGTAGCGGCGAATCGAACGCATGCCACACTCGTATCGGCACAGCATAGCCGCAGCATGATCCGGTGCAAAAACAGAGCGTAGTCCATCAGCGGAAGTACAGCTCCTGCTGATGTCAGACAACCTACCAATGACACCGCTAAGCGAGCTCGTGAGCTTGGCTCGGTTGTTGGACCGTTATGGTGGGGGAAGTCTTCTCCCAAATGATTCACTTGCTGCAGCCACTCAAGTGTTTTTACCAGCAAGAGGTTTCGCGGAAGAGTGCGAATCTCTACATCAAACGACTTCTTTTTCTGGGAAACATAAAAACCATCAGCAGCGCGAGCAATAGCACCAAGCACTACTTTGGCATAAGTGCAGTCGCCTCCGCTCTTCGCAGAGTCTCGAACATGCTGCACAAACGTTCCGATTGACTCAAAATCGAGTGCCAGCTCTACATTCGTATCAACGCTCGAAGTTGATGCAATCGATGATTCGGAAATACCGAAAGCGAGGTGGAAGAAGTTAGCGATACCGGATAGCATCAATGAGTGCCCTACATGACCTGGCTTGCCTCCACCCGCAAGAGCGTGCTTGACATACTTGACTGCTAACTTTGTTTGGTGCTGAATAGTGTCAGGAAAGCCTCCATAATGACGCAATTGACACAATACGTTTGCCACTACCATGATCAAAAAGCCGCAGTCGAGGTTGTCAACACTAGCTTCCGCAGCTCGGCGGTTGCAAGTGACCACGAACTTTTCCAAGCTCAACGAGGATACCACGTTATAACGCACGCTCTGCAGCAGTACGGGTCCCAATGCAACGGCCGCAAGATTTACCGGCTCGTTTTCTTCCCACACTGCTAAAAGCACTCTTCGCACATTCGCCAGCCAGTCTAGACGTTTCATTTTCGCAAAGCCAATTGACAGTCGCGCTAAACCCATTGACGATGCCCATCGCAATAAAATACCACCGGATGACGCAGCGTGATTGACGTCCGACATGATTATGCCCAGAGGAAGGGGTGCTCTTGTTGTTTCGGAGAGTGGAAATACCGCGTCTCCGTGGCAGGTCGAAGACCTGTTCGGCTGCTTTGCATGGTCGATACGAAGAAACGACTCGAGAATAAGTTCAGCAATCGGCTTGACCTGTTGGTGTCTCCACTGTGTCACCTCGAACGCCTCGATTTCGTTGCCGTCCGTATATAGACTAGCTATTCGGCTCAGGCCGAGTAAAGCCCAGCAACTTGACAAGTCATCCGAATCGTTTTGGTAAATTTCGGTAAACATTTTTTCGATCTCATCCAATTGGATGCAATAGTTGCTGCAGCCATCCACTGTGTCGATCCTTCGATGGCCAAGTGAGAGCTGCAGAGCAACTAAAGCACCGATACACGAAAAGCTGGTGTCTTTGTCGACGGTCAAGAATACGCGAGTCTGTTCGATCGACAATGCAAGCCGACGCGACAACTCCTTGACTGTTTCTTCGTGCATCAGGCGCAAATGAGAATTCTGCCAATGCCTCGTTTCACACAGTTCTCCCGCCAGCGCACCAGCCGCAACGGCTCCTCCCTCCTTGTTCGATGCGTCATTCAAAAGCGAGTCAAACAAGCTGGCAATACCTTCCGAGAACACACGGAACGCAACATCGGCATCATCTACGCTAGTAGGAGTCTTGAGCTTCGCCAGTTCGTCAAGAGAATATATGAACGTCGCCATAAATCCTCGCCATCCTTCCATCAAAGATTGAATAAGCAAGAATTCCTTGTACTTACCAGTACAGTCTGGAGACATGCTTGATGAGGCCCAAGGCAGCTCCATACTCTGGACTACAGTCCTGACCGTTTGTTTTAACTCGCTTACATTTTGCGTGGCAAGGCGTACAAGTTTGTCTTTGCGATGAACATTTTTCGTGTCGACCAACGCTTTCGGCTGGAACGCCAACAAATACCCACTCCAGTCAGTCGTAGTAGAATCCCTTACAAACATGCTCTCTACCTCCATTCTTGTAGGAAGCAGCGCTTTCAGCTCCTTGGTAGCCGCACCAGAAACAGCCGCAAACGACGTCAATTTCGGCGTTACGTGCTGCTGCCGCTGGATCCCTTGTACTGCAGACACCGCTCGCTGTCCACGACTAACATTTGCGGTAAGCTTCGTACTTTCGTGCTCAACCACTTTTGCAGCCAGCTTCTCAATCTCAACGCGGACGGCTGGATCCTTCTCGTTGCACAGACGCGCCAACAAATCATCCAACCGCTCCTCGACTTCTTCTTTCGTCGTTTCATCTTCGTTGTGTTCCGCACTATCATCAACCATCACGCAAAGCCCTAATAAGTTTAGAGGAAACTGGCGCAGCGCACCATAGGCACACTTTCGAACGTCCGCGCATTCACTGGACGTAAACTTCCGAGCCTGGTTAAGTAGCTTCAAAGCGTCTTTTTCACTTGCAGCACTATCAACACCACCAATTGCGTAAAAACAGCACAAGCGCTCTTGGAATAGCGGTTCCTCTGCACACGTTATCTTGTTCTCGCGTATCTTCTGCGCAATGATCTTAAACGCAATGTAGAAGTCCAAACAGTCTTCGCTGCACAATGCAGTAATGGCGTCCATGGCCATTGCAACAACAGACTTCAGCTCATCTTCAAGGAATGCCTGAATGGACGAGATGAACTGCACGCCCAGCTCTGGGTCCTTCTCGCACAGCGCTTTTATAGTTGCCATCCTTACAATATGATGATCGACATCTTCGACTGGAGAAGTCGGTTCAAGTAACATTGTCTCCAATCGTGGAAACACACGGGGCTCGTTTCGCCACACTTCAAACATGCACTTGAGTGCGATGGATCTCATTTTTGCCGTGCCATTCATGCTGTCGATAAGACGAAGCACAATACGCATAGTGTCGGTCGTTGAAGCTGCAAGCGCTGCCAAACAATACAAGCACGAGATCATCCACTCGGCGAAGCCACGCGTCAACGCCTTGTTCGCTTTTTTAGACGGTCGCTGAGAAACCAGAAATACCAAACTTGGCACCAGTGATTTTACAGTAACGGCGCCCCAGAACTTTGGACTATTGTGCACTTGACGCTCCAAACACTTAGCAGCGCTGTCTCGAAAAGCAGACCGTTCATCAGACAGCAACGCCACCACCAATAGTGCTAGCCATTTGTCCGCAGTGCTGCGGGAAGATACAGCGCCCTTCGACATAAACAAGGAGCTCAACCAACGTTGGCACGAATCTTCGTCGCAAATCAATCGGATGGCCGAACGAGCATGGGTTGCTGTCTCCGTAAGGTGGACACCGCTCTCAAGGTCGTCTTTACCAATATACTCGCTCATTGACTTGACGTCCACCATGATTTGAAGCAGCTCGGACACAACACTGCCATGGACCGAAATCATCGATGACAAGGGCAGCACGAGAATTTCAACGTATACGCTGCGGCTGCCAGCAATGACCTCACGTCCATATGTGAGTGTTTGCCGTAGCACGCGCAGCACCAATTGCTGCTCTAGCAACGTTTCGCAGCACTCCACAAGGAAATGCGCAGCCGACGTCAGAAAAACAGAGCACCAGAAAGCCTCAGGCACAGCTCTAGACAGCTGCTCCAGTGACTGCAATAGAGTCACGGCACCCACGTTTCTCCTGATCAAGAGCTGCGTCGACTGTAGCACAAAGTGTGCCGTTCTGATCGCTAGTGTCACAAGCTTCGTACCGTGAGCTGCTAGCGAACTCAGCAGATCAATTAGCAGCTTTACATGAATCCCGTAGGTCGGTTGTGACAGCTGCGTGTATGGGACGAGCTCCAGTGCCTGCACGAGAGTGTAAACCACAGATGTCTGCACAAGCTCATGGTCGTCGTCTTCATCGTGTTCATTGACGTGCCAAGCGACGCGAGCCATAGCGTGCAGCACTGCAGCTTTGTGTCCCTCTGACCTCTGCGAAGTACCAATCAGGACACTCTTGAGGACAGACGAGAGTATTTCTAGTGTCTGCTTGGCTTTTCGACCGTCCAACTTGGCGGTACAAAAAGGTCCATCGCTAGTTGTTAGAGCTGCCAAGTATCCGGGCAGCACGGTGTTATTTGCGTTGTAGACCTTAAGTAGCACACTGCGCTGGGTGGATAGTGGTACTGCGTCGAGCAGGTAGACACTCTCCTGAAGTAACATCATCCCCAAGTACTCCGCCTTGCTCAATGGCTCTGTACAGATCGAAGCTGCCTGTTGCAGCTTTTCATACAAGTTTCCACTCAATCGGTGCTGCCGAAGACCTAGAGCAGACACGCCGTACACACGCAGTATACGCTCTGAGTCGAGACAGAGTGGATGTCGTAGCACGCAGGAGATTCACACGCACCAGAGACCAGCTTTTGCGATTCCGCGAGGGAAGCAGTGGAGATGAGGCGATCGACAGCATGGTCCACAGCGCCGGCGAGTTCGAGAGGCGTCGCGGCCTGTCGCAGTGCCTTCAGCAGTGCCGGTAGCGCCGTCGCCATAGTAGACGCCTTGTCAGATGGCGTTGTTCACGCCGAATGGAGAGCGTTACAGCGCGATTGAATGTTGTTCCAAGCTCAGCTAGGGCTTGAAGTAACGTTAAGGGAGCAACATTTGATCGCTCTATTTACACTCTGCGCGAGTGTGTACGCAGCGTGACCCATAGGTGACACTTTTTGTCGGTCAATGGGCTTGGAACAACATTCAATTACGCTATTCACACACTCGTTCAGAGATCACATCGAGTGACTGGATGTTGTTCCGAGCTTATTGACAGAAAAATATCACTTATGTGTTGATGAAGGGAGCCCTGGAGCATCTTTGGCTTGCCCAAAATAGTGGCTATCCACTTATTTCGAGTACATTTGGGCACCATGTCCCGGACTATCCTCGGCACCAATGTCAGAAAAAAGATTCGTTTGATTTTATTTGCACTGAAACAGAAACAATTGTGCCACCTTTAGGTCGTGATAATTTCGACACGAATACGATACTTCTCCTTTCTACTGCCGCTACCTGAGAAACCCGTGCGACTTACGCTGTGCTACAAAGCAATGCAACAATAGCTACTCAAAGTATCGATGCGCATCGATCGCAGTAATGACAGTGCCTACTTATGCCCTAAGCACGCCAACTATATCGATGCTCGCGAGACGTACAACCAACTCGCGCGTGTTGCACTGCGCCCTGGTTGGCAATAAAGTGTGTTAAATGTCGTATGACATCCTTGTTGAAGTCGTGTGCCGCGACTTAATCGAAGAGGCACCTGCGACGTATTGTTCCGAGGCACATAGGAAGAAATGTTTGGATACCATGGAGAGATCTACGAAGGGCGGTAAAACTTTCCGGGAACCATGGAAAGATCTTAGGAAGCGTGACGACGCTGATATATGTTTGCTTTTTCCTATTCCCAAGCTACGTTGCAGATTCCCAAATTTTCACGGTTCAGCTCAAGCCAGGCTTTTTCCCTTCGGGGCAGTCACGTCGGAGGGAATCCTCCCCTAGGGGAGCCGACGGGGTCGAAGATCTGACGCGGGCGCGCTGCACTCGCAGTCGCGGGTGTGGGCGTAGGGGACCGACGGGTCGCGTAAGCGGCCAAGCAGGGGTGTTTTATGGACTGGAGGCGTACCCCGCGCCACGTGTCGCCGCTGCGGCGAGCGCACACTCCACGTCCGGGGGCCGCGTAAGCGGCTGAAGGGGGCCACCATCGCAGATGGGTGAGCTCCTCGGGGAGAGATACGGCGGGTTGGCGTTCTCCACGCCACGCAGTCACTTCGGTGATCGCACTCCACGTCGGGGGGCCGCGCAAGCGGCTGAAGGGGGCCACCATCGCAGATGGGTGAGCTCCTCGGAGAGAGATACGGCGGGTTGGCGTTCTCCACGCCACGCAGTCACTTCGGTGATCGCACTCCACGTCGGGGGGCCGCGCAAGCGGCTGAAGGGGGCCACCATCGCAGATGGGTGAGCTCCTCGGAGAGAGATACGGCGGGTTGGCGTTCTCCACGCCACGCAGTCACTTCGGTGATCGCACTCCACGTCGGGGGGCCGCGCAAGCGGCTGAAGGGGGCCACCATCGCAGATGGGTGAGCTCCTCGGAGAGAGATACGGCGGGTTGGCGTTCTCCACGCCACGCAGTCACTTCGGTGATCGCACTCCACGTCGGGGGGCCGCGCAAGCGGCTGAAGGGGGCCACCATCGCAGATGGGTGAGCTCCTCGGAGAGAGATACGGCGGGTTGGCGTTCTCCACGCCACGCAGTCACTTCGGTGATCGCACTCCACGTCGGGGGGCCGCGCAAGCGGCTGAAGGGGGCCACCATCGCAGATGGGTGAGCTCCTCGGAGAGAGATACGGCGGGTTGGCGTTCTCCACGCCACGCAGTCACTTCGGTGATCGCACTCCACGTCGGGGGGCCGCGCAAGCGGCTGAAGGGGGCCACCATCGCAGATGGGTGAGCTCCTCGGAGAGTGATACGGCGGGTTGGCGTTCTCCACGCCACGCAGTCACTTCGGTGATCGCACTCCACGTCGGGGGGCCGCGCAAGCGGCTGAAGGGGGCCACCATCGCAGATGGGTGAGCTCCTCGGAGAGAGATACGGCGGGTTGGCGTTCTCCACGCCACGCAGTCACTTCGGTGATCGCACTCCACGTCGGGGGGCCGCGCAAGCGGCTGAAGGGGGCCACCATCGCAGATGGGTGAGCTCCTCGGAGAGAGATACGGCGGGTTGGCGTTCTCCACGCCACGCAGTCACTTCGGTGATCGCACTCCACGTCGGGGGGCCGCGCAAGCGGCTGAAGGGGGCCACCATCGCAGATGGGTGAGCTCCTCGGAGAGTCTCTCTTATAGGGACCAGCCACGATTAGCCTCCGGGTCTCCCGGCGCTCACTTCTGGCTTAGCAAACTGCAGAGGTTAAGGCGCATAGTTAACACCGTGCAAATAGACCATCTGAACAACAACAAAAAAAAAAAAAGCTACGTTGCAGATCCGTTTTCCTACAAAGTGTCGTTTGAGATCGTAAACTTGCTGCGGTCTTGAACATGAACGAATGGAAGGCATTTTTCGCGTGTCCATACGCGAAGGCCATCGAAGACTTGTACATATGGGACCCCGTGTGTAGGTGAACGTTTCGTCGAGACTCGCCTCCCACGACATTGGCGACGACAAGATTGGCATCTCGAATCGTAACCCGCCGCTACAGCGCGGAACTTGCGTAAATAGCGTCCACTGTGCACCTCGTTGATACGCATCGCGTCAATCCCAGCTCGAACAAAGAACGGTATTGCGTGGTCAGCACGACGACTGCGAATCGTCACGAAAATTCACAGAGCTCTTTTGCCGTGTTAAGTACTGAGTGCCCGAGCAGCCCATGTCAAAGACGACACACAGCTATGAACCTCGAGACTGTCACATAGTCTCGACGTGCTTAGGCGAGCGTCTGCTGTGCGTCATTATCACAGCACGCCTTGTACAAGACAGGAAAACGAATGGCACGTCCGTCCCCATTCGAGCAACTCGAGCTACTGCGTGGTATCTAGACTCGCCGGGTAGTAACCGATCGATCATTACGGAAAAACGATGGCACAATTCGCATCATGGGCATTGTCGGTAAACTTGTTGTCATCACGCCTCACTTCTTTTCTGCATCCTCGAACGGCAAATTCACCACCACACAGTTCGCCGTATCGACAAAAGAATGTCAAGCGTGACATTCATTTCGTGACCTGCGTACCCAGACATGTCTATCATCAATGCTGGCATTTCTTAGAGCACAACGAACTGTCTCGCTTCAAATGCCAGCCTTCCGAAATTGCGATGACCGAGTAGGTTGCAGTAGCAGGTGGTTGGTGCCTTGTTGTAGTTGCACGCGCAATCCTGGATCACGTGATGAGCCAGACACGGCGCAAGTCAGATGGCCGACGTGATGGACTTTCACCAAGCCATCAAGCGAGTGTGCGTTACGTGGAGATGCAGTTACGTGTATGAGAAACGATTTCTGCTGGCAGATTGGCGTGTGGTGCGGTGTCGTATAAGGACAGCAACGTTTCATGCGAAAGACATACCAGAAGCATGCGAGAAAGAGTAGAGGCAATATGCCGGACAAATTCTTACCCGGTGTACTGAAAAAGCCTAATCGATTCCATCACTGGACTGCCGCTTCAATGCCCTTCCGGCAAACCTTAGGGTCACAAACAATGCGAGATGCATATGTCTCAGCTGTGTCACCCCGGAGCGCAGGTACCAACAAGAAGACGGCTAAAATGTGCATCAGCCTGCAGCTCAACACCTCACTTGAGTGAGATGCAGGTAGCATTTGACATCCGATGAAGACGACGATGCTTCCCGTCACTATTACTTCCCATGTTAGCTGATCAGTCGTTTGAGTTTGCGTAGAGTTTACCGGCATGCGAACATAGCAAGCAGTTGAAGTCATCCGGGAAGCACTAAACGCCACACGACCCATCAATCCTTCATCTTGTCTTACTTCTTTTGCGTGCAGAAGCAGATGCTGCATACCCACACACACACACATACTGTCTGTGCATTCTGAGTAGCTGACTGACCAAGGTGCAAGCTACACGACAAGCGCACTTGTGAGCATCACCGCAATGAAGTTGCTCATTGATCGCGCCCATTGCTGCACATGCAAGTTGGTGCGTCAGCATCAAAAGCGTAGGAGGATTGCAGCAGTGGTGATGCACGGGCGTAGACGCAAGTGGACGCTATGTGCACTCAATGTGTTTAAAACAGATCTTCCAAAGTGATGAATCAGTGAAAAGGGTGGCCCTGATAAACAAAAGCCGCGCAGGAGGAGGAGGGGGGGCACGGGACGACATTTGTCGCGTCAACTCAACGCGTTTTGTAATCGACGTGTACCACATCGACATTGAGCCACGTAGGATCGTGCGGCGCAGCTGTTGCCAGTGGACGACCAGCATGAACCCGTCGTACCCGTCGCTAGGGCTGCCTTCCAGCGGCGGGCCGCCCCCACCGGGAGGAGCGCCGCGCCCCCAGCGACCCGCAAGCAATGGCAACCCGAACTACTTTACCGACAAGAAAAAGGGCGAAGTGAACGAGCTCAAGAATGTACGTACCAACAAAGGGCCGAACGTTGCATCGCTCGAGGATGTCAAAATTGATACACCCACGCGAGGGATGCGACGACCGTCTAAACTAATACACCCACTTCCTGTCAACAGCTACTGCGCGAAGTCACGGTCGAAAAGGATGTCAAGCGCAAGCGCGAGATCATCAAGAAAGTCATTGCGTACATGACGTTGGGCATTGACGTCTCGCGTCTCTTTAGTGAGATGGTGCTCTGTGTCGACACGAAGGACCTCATCTCGAAGAAAATGGTGTACCTCTACTTGACAAACTACGCGCAGAAGAACTCGGAGCTTGCCATCATGTGCATCAATACGCTCTTGAACGACTGCCGCAACGAAGATCCGATGGTGCGCGGCCTCGCGTTGCGCTCGCTGTGCTCCTTGCGGCTCGACTCTATCCTCGAGTACATCCACGACCCGTTGCAGGCGTCGCTCACGGACACGAGCGCGTACGTCCGGAAGACGGGCGTCATTGGCATCTTGAAGGTCTACTCGCTGAACCCGGAGCTTATCAAAGAGAGCGACATGATCGACACGCTGTACAACATGATCCGTGACCGCGATCCGCAGGTGGTTTCCAACTGCTTAGTCGCGCTGAACGAGATCATGGCGGACGAAGGCGGCATTGCAATCAACCAGCCGATTGTGATGCACTTGCTGAGTCGCATAACGGACTTTAATGAGTGGGGACAGTGCAATATCTTGCAGATCGTTGCAAAGTACAAGTCTACTGGACCAGACGAGGTGTTTACGATCATGAACACACTGGAGCAGTGTCTACGCGTCTCGAGCAGTGCTGTCGTGCTCGGCACTGCCAAGTGCTTTTTCAATCTTACGCAGACGCGTGGAATGGAACAGATTCAGGACCAAGTGTTTGAACGTATGCGCCAACCTTTGCTCACGTTGATGGCCGGCGGTAGTCACGAGATCAACTACTGCGTGCTACACCACATATTGCTGCTGGTGGGAAAGAAGCCGCATGTTTTCAGCCGCGACTATCGCCAATTTTACAATCGATACAACGAGCCCACGCACGTCAAATACGTCAAGATCGACATCTTGGCTCTAGTCGCCGATGGTGCCAACGTTGCTGATATTGTCACGGAGCTGAGCGAGTACGTGACGGACGTAGACCAGGAGCTGGCTCGCCGCGCGATCCACGCGATTGCAGACATTGCGGTGAGCCCGAATTTGTCTGTGAACACATTGCCTCACCAATACATGGGCGGAGGCAACGTGCCCGAGGCTTATGGCCAGCTTGCGGCTGAGCAGCTCGTTGAGCAGATGCAAGATCACATCATGGATACGATGGTGGACTTCTTGGAGCTGGACCTCGACTACGTGCGCGACGAGAGTCTCGTGGTCATGAAGGACCTGTTGCGGAAGTACCCGGAAAAGCGTCACGATGTGTTGCCTGTGCTCGCTCGCATTATCGCGGCAGTAGCGCAGCCTACTGCGAAGGCCGCAGTTGTGTGGATGCTAGGCGAGTTTGGCCAGGATCTTCGTCGTGCGCCGTACGTACTCGAGAAGCTCATTGACACCTTCAATGACGAGGCTGCTCCGTCTGTCTTGCTCGAACTACTTGTCGCAACGATGAAGCTGTTCTTCAAGCGTCCTCCAGAGATGCAGAGCATGCTTGGCCGGTTGCTTGAATCGGCGATAAATGATTCGAACCACCAGGACGTGCGCGACCGTGCGTTGCTGTACTACCGTTTGCTCGCGCAGCAGCCCACGGAGCAGGCGGCCACAATTGTGGCCCAGTTCCGTACAGAGGAGACGGTTAGCGTGTTTACCGAGAGCATTGAGTCGGACTTGAAGGACAAGCTGTTCCAGGAGTTCAATTCGCTTGCTGTGGTGTACAGCAAACCTAGCGAACTCTTCGTGTCGGCCTCGCACCTGACTGGAGCTGCTGCGCCTCTCGATGACGACGAAGACGAGGAGAACGAGGAGGACGAAGCGTACGACAATGAAGCTCCGAAACAGCAGCAGCAGCAACAACAACAGCAGCAGCAACAACAGCGCAGCACCGTGCCACCTCCACAGGCACCGTCCATGCCCAACATGGATCTCCTGGATATGGACTTCAGCCCAGCCCCGAGTAACCCCCCGCCTCAAGCGGGAGGTCCTGCTTTCGCTTTGGTTCCGACACCAGTCATGGATGCGCCCATGTTCCAGAGCCAATGGGGCAGTAGGCCCGTCGTGGCTGAAGTGGTGGTCCAGTTGCCAATCCTGCCCCCACAGAACGAACTAGAGCAGGCGTTTGCATCGCACGGCATCGTGACGATCGCTTCGGGCGACGTGGGTCCGCAGTACAAGTTTTTCTTCTACGCCCAAGACACGCAGGGCCGCTACTTTATGTCCGAGACATTTGTCGAGAAGGCCACGCGCACGCTGCGGGCCACGATCAAGGGCGTCGACGATGGCTCGGGGTCCCAGTTTGCCGACGCCATGCGACGTGTACTCTTCGGTTGATCTGGCAGGAGGATGCCAGGCAGTTGCTGTAAAAATTGAAGGTTCACTTGAGCACCATTGACTTTGCAGTACATGTACTTGTCATGTAGCAGCGACGACTAGAGGCTGAACATTGTGGGTCACATGAGGTAAGGAGCCGATCCACTTTGCGATACTACTGCACCTCTGAGCTCCACAATGGCACAGCGAAGCAGACGCAACGTCTCGCTCATCGTCGCGTGCTCTTTGAACCGCGTGATCGGTAAACGAGGCACATTGCCCTGGAACATCCCCGCGGACTGGGCGTTCTTCTGCTCCGCCACGAAGCACCAGGTGCTGATTGTCGGTCGACGGTCCTTCGAAGAGTTTGGCGAGCCGATTCGGAACCGCCAGACGATTGTCGTCTCCTCGACGCTGGAACAGGCACAAGTCGACGCTGCTGGAGGTCGAAGGGGGTCCGACGTTCGCGTCGCTCGGACGCTGGATGAGGCACTTGGCCTTGTCGACTCGGAACCGCAGTATGTCGAGTGTACCCGCGTGTTCATCGGAGGCGGCGAGAGACTGTACAGTGAAGCAATGACTGCTGACGTGGTCGAGTCGTGCTACGTCTCGAGAGTGCACCGGTGGATTGACGACGGCGATGCCTTTTTTCCAGAGTGGACGACGCGGTTCCCGAAGCTGATGTTCTCGGCGAAAGCCAATGGAAGAGGAAGTACGAGGTGAGGCTTTGCTTAGTTCTTCCTGTTGCTGCGGGCGGTCTACAGCAGCGGGTTGTCCATGGAGCAGTGCTGCACGACAATACTAAAGTATGTGCTCGGTCTTTCTTGGCAGGGTGAGCTTTGAGATATGGGGAAAGTAGGACACATGGCGTACCTTGAGGCGAGAAGTCGGTGGGAGCGCCTCGTGACCTCAATGGCGCTGACTGCCTCGAACGATCGAAGGTCATGTTGGACGAGGCAGTGGTCGATGGGCTACCGACGTATCGGCAAGCAGTCCGGATGATATCGAGCATGCTGCCGCTTGTGCTCTACTTCATCGAAAACGGGGCTATCGACGAGCACGAGCTCTGTTGCGCTTAAACCAATAGCGGACGTGCCAGTCTACGAATCGTTGTTGCCGCTGAGAAATGAATGCAGTTGGTGCCCTCTGCTTTGTTTCACGATACACAGGTCCACTGGACAGCGCTCGGGTCCTGTTTCAGCTTTCTAGCGACCACGACCGTCTCATGTTCTTCTGCAACGAGTGCGACGGATAAAGTAGTCGCTATGCGTGTCAAAGTATTCAGACCGACACAAAAGAGCTGCTAAAGAGTGCGGTTTTCAGTTCCGGTCCACTCAGTGCAGCTTCGCCCTTCAGGCTCGCAACAAGTGCCACATCGCTTCTCTCTCTCATATGGTACATTATTGGCTACAGGCTTATCTACTTTCTACTATCTGACATGCCTATCACCGTGAATTCAACAGTCGCTGCTGTTGTTGCTGCTGCTGGCTTGGTGCAGCCTCCGGCCCTGTCACAGGGCGGCGCGTCGTTGGGGCGAGGTGCTCCATCATCATCATTTCAGATCGCTTCGCCGTACTGACTGAGACGGACTCAGGACCCGCGCTCGATCGCGGTGATTGTGATTGACGTACGATAGCACTTCCGGACGCAAGTCGTGAAGAAACGCTGCTGTCGTCAGATCGTGGAGGCTTCAGTCTCAGGAACGTAGAGCCTGGAGGCGGAGGGAGTAGACCCATGTGCGGCGTGCCGGTAGATGACGGGTTGCAGCTCAAACCACCAGGAAACATCTTCATCGACATTGGCAGTCTACCAGGACCCTTTGCACCACGTGGAGACCTCATGGCGGTGGTAGAAGAAGCGTGAGGAATGGTCGTGGCGATTGCTTTCGACCCTGCCGGGGGATACGGCACTGCTTCCAACAGTCGTTTCGTGAGCTGCACCGACGGTACGTCTTTGTTCACGAGGTACACAAACTTGAGATCTTGGAATCTCTCCGACGTCGGGTAGATCAGCGAGCGCAGCACATGCGCAGAGTCTCGCGTCAGCATCCCTTCCTCTTCCAGACGGCAAAAACGAAGGTACATTTCCTTGCGAATGCTGAAGTGCAGGTCCACAAATGAGTTCATTTGGATGCGGTCGCGAGTCTGCGGTGACTGGTTCGTGTCTGAGGCTGTGGGAGCACCAAATACCCCAGGTGACACTGTACATCCAGGCGATGCTGCAGCGCTCGACAAACACGTGGACGCATCCAGTTTCGCACGCTTGCTGGTACTGATGCCGATACCTCGACCCAGGAGACGTTTCTCACGCTTCAGCTTTACGAAAGCGGCACCTTCGTCAATCTCCTGCGATGCCACTTCTCGAAGAATGTCGAATGCGCTGAGGCCTGCAGCATCTGGTTGGCACTGCTTTGTTTGTCGTGCGGTTCCTGCTTTCATTGCTTTCGTCAATGCAGCTGGTGCCTCTTTCCGACTTGCTTGGACAGACTTGCCGTTCGGCACCGGACGCGGGTACAACGAGAAATGTCCGTGGTTTGGCTCCATCTTCACGTACACCTGGAAGTTGGCTGGCATCGCCATGACTGGGTTCGACGACGCGGTGAGTACCTCGTTTTGATTGTCTACCGAGTTCAGCATGGGCAGCGAAGTTACAGTGGGCTTGAACGCCTTTGTAGGTGTCCCGCTCGATAACGGACTGTTCAAAAGCGACATCACCGTGTTGCTCGACGATTGCCACTTCGACTGCTCCGGTGCAGAAGGCTCAGATGTGGTCAACTTTTGCTCGCGCTTGTCTGAGCTTGGCTCGCCCACCGCTGGCTCGTTGCTTGCATCAACCTTAGCGGCTGCAGCTTTATTAGGCGAGCTGTGCGCCTCAGTCGCCACCTTGATCGTGCGCTGTGGAGACGCGTGCATCGTTACCGAAGCATGCACCAACGCAGCAGCATTCGCTTTAATGGCAGATACCGTCGACGTCTTCGCGTTCTCCTGCGTACTTGCACCCGTCGACATGGCAGGTTCATCCACCTCCTCTGCTCTTGCTTCTGAGGGCGCCAACGAGATCTTCAATATAGCCTCGCCTGGCACGAACTCTTTCGGTCGCACCGGCATCACGGCGGTTGATTCGGACAGAGCACTCATAGCGCTCTTCGCAGCTCGTTGACTCGCGCTCTCAGCTGATCGCGCCTTCACTGGCGCATTCGCCACTTCCGACAACTTGCGCTTCTTTTTCGTCGGCCCCTTCAAAACTCGACTCGATTCCACTCGTTTCTCGCTTTGACTGCTATTCTTCTTCTCTCTCGCGACCAATCCATTGTCCTCGACGACGCCGCTCGCTTTCCCAACCTTGGCTGTCGTTGTCTCCCCTGCTTCACTCTCTTTCGGTGTCGTCACTTTCTTCACAGCTTTCGCGGTCAACGAGCTCGTGGCAGAAGCTGCGTACGCGGCTTTTGTCTTGAGCGCTGCTCGACTGTCGTTATGGAACGCCCGCGCGTCGTCAATACAGCGCGGACAGACGTACGTCGAGTCTTTCCACCGTCCAGAGCTCTTGATGGGCGGCAGGCAGCCAATGTGGAACCAGTTGTTGCAGCAGTCGCACGCCAGGCTCTCGTTAATGTGCTCGTCCTCCATCGCGTACCAATCGTCAAACGACTTGCTCCAGCGCGTAAAGTGGATCTTAATGCGCTCGCCCGGCGCGTCGACTTCCGTGATCACAGCGTTGTACAGCACCTCGTCGTTGTCCACGAGCACGGCCTGGTTCACCTTGAACCCTGTCTTCCCGTCCTCGCACTCTCGGCCCGTCATGGCGAACGGCAGGCGACAGCTCCCGCAGCGCGACCCCACGTCCTCGTCGTCTGCGCCCACTGGTCCCGCTCCGTTATCGCCGCCCTTGTCACCTGCACCCAGTGCCATCACGTGGCTCTCCACGCTCTGCTCGGCCTCGCACTTGCGGCAGCAAAAGCCGCTCACATTGCCCACGTCTTCGTCCCGCAAGCGCGCGCACTTGGCGTGGAAGCCCTTGCCGCACCACTCGCAAAAGTGGTCGCAGCCCGTGCGCGCGCACTGGACACAGGGCCGTTGCGAGCGGCGGAAGGCGACGAAGTCGCAGATTTGGCAGCCCGTGGACGCGGCGCTCTTGCTCTTGACCGCCGACGCCGACGCTCGGGCGACGCCTTCGAGCAGCGCGTTGTTGCCGCACTGCTCGCACTCGCGCGGGGGGCCGCCCGGCGTCGTCAACGAGCTGCCCGACGACGACGTAGCCGACAGCGCGGGACTGCTGTTGCCGGTGGTGCCGAGGCCACTGCCCTTTTTGCGGCGCTTGGGCTGCGCGGCGGCGGCTTTGGGTTTGGGGTTGCGCGCCATGCAGAGTGATGGTCGCAGATGCGCGCTCCCTCTCGCTCAGGGGCTCTCTCTCTCTCTCTGCACGACGGGAGCGGGTTGGAAAGTGGGCGGGATCCTCCCCCCAACCCGCGCCGACGCAGGCGGGAGAAAACGCCTCGTCTTTGTGCTTGCACAACCTTCGCGCGACTTTTGACGCCACGACCAACGAGCGGCCTGCGAGCAGACGACGCGTGCGGGGAACAGGACCCAGAGCGAAACCGTCTGTTTTGCAAGCACCAACTGGGCCGATCGAGACATGGCTCCACGCCAGCTGCCCCCGGCCCACACGCGCACACAGCACGCGACTGACTATGTTGGGCCACAAGGCAGTGGAAGGAGGGGTCTTTCCACACGTTGCTCCACGAACCTCGAGCAAAAACGCAATGCGGTCTTTGCAGGGTCTCTGGTGGCGGCGCAAATGAAATGGTGCAATCATTCGAATAACCACCAGGAGCAAATTCTGATACTACCAGATGGCGCGGCCGCCTGGCTCTGTGCACGCGGAAAATAGGGTACGCACTCTTATCCAATGAGAGCCTTAGGCGACGGTAACCCGACCGCGTCGCCAGACGTTACTGGTGACGTGTCGCCGGGTGTTTGCTGCATGCAGCGAGTGCAAGCGGCACGTACGGGGCGGCCGACACGCACAGACTGGAGTGTCGAACGCAACTGCGAAAGAAACATGGCGGCCTCTTTCCTCCATTGTTGGGCCAATGACGTTCCCCACACGAACCGTGTGCGTTCCCCTGCGGATCAGGACCTTGCACGATCCCATGGGGTTTCTCGGAAGCTATCACGTCGCTGCGTCACGGCACATCTTGGGGCACGGGAAATAGTTTTCCAGGAAGGCGCTTTGTCGATCTTTTTCTAGCACGGAAAAGGTGCTTCGTTAATTTGACAGTCCGTTTTATCCACACGTGTCCTTTCTGCATCATCCAACTCTCGCTGTGCTGATGCTGCGTCGTTTTGGTACCAACACGACAAATGACGAGCTCAATCGATAGCTACGACCGCTTCTCGGTCGCGTCCACAGGAACGACGAGGGGGAAGCGCAGACGACATTGCAATACAAAATGGTCTGCTGCTGAAGCTGATGCTGAACGGTATGAAGAAACTGCCGACGCGTGACGGCTCTTGCGCGTAGTCTTCATCACTCCGCACGTCGGTTCACAACGAGAGTCGATGCGAAATTGACAACTCGTCGTTAGTGATGAAGCTGCGCATCTGCTCGGCTGCAGACATCCGATGGAAAGAGCTTACAGGACCTACTAGATGGACCGATAAACGCCGTCGTGCAAGACGTAGGGGGCGCTCAAGGACTTGGCTGTATCATCGTTTCATTCGTTGCCACTGGCGAGCTCTTACGTCAGGTCGGAATGCCGCAATCCTTTCCAGCCAACAACAAGAGTGTCGATCCCCCCTCTGTTTCCGTATACAGCGTGCACGCTGCAATGATACAGATTCCATTGCACCCGTTGTGCGTGCAACGCCCAAGCACAGAGGTTACAGGCCCGTGAGAGGTGGACGTCACTGGCAGGTGATTGGAGCCAGAGTGGCGGTTTGCAGCACTATCTTTGTCGCCAGAGGTCATTCCTCCTCTTGTCTGTTCTCAGCTAGAACGTTCGATAGTTGTATTCGGCAAAGGTAGAGCAGTGCAAGCGATTCGATATGCAAAAACACGAAGGCCGTGTATTCTATCAGAAGACAGTTACCAACTATGTATCCTATCAGGAGACAGTTCCCGACTATGTGTCTCCTCGCAGCAAGTTCCAATAGACTGTCTCATTGTGCTTCGAGAAAAGCAGTGATCCACTCTAGAACTTTGTCACTGTCCTCGTCGTCAAGATAATCGTTCAACGCTTTGCTCAGCAGCATGAACTGCCTCTCGGACGCCATGTAGAGCTTCTTCTTCAGCAGACACCGCATGTCGTCATCCATGACCTTATTCACCGATAGCATCTCGAGCGCCTTAAATGTCGTGTCGACAGCACTTCTGTCCTCTTCACCTTCTGGTACTTCGTTGCTCGCCACGCGCTGCTTCTTGGCAATCGGTATCGACACTCCCGTACTGCCAAAACCACCGGCGCCACGCGCTGTCTTGTCCATCTCGTCCACTTCTTGGATCTTTGGGTACTCGATTTTCTCCAGTATGAGCTGCGCGACTCGATCCCCTCTCTTGATGACAAAGTCTTCCGTCGAGTGGTTGAACAGGAGCACGCCTACGTTTCCACGATAATCAGCATCAATGACACCAGCGCCAGTGTCGATGAAATTCTTCAGCGCAAGACCTGACCGAGGTGCTACGCGGGCGTAGCAGCACTCGGGTACGGCAATTGCAAGATCCGTTTTGACCAGACCCTTGGAGCCTGCTGGGATGATAGCGTCGTAGGCAGCGGAGAGGTCCAAGCCCGCCGCAAGACTCGAACCTCGCGAAGGCAAAATGGCTTGGGGTGACAACTTCTTGACGCGTAAAATGGGTGCAGAACGACTGCGTTTGGTCACCATGGTACAGACAGAGGGTGGGCGCTGGCGGGGAAGATGCAGAGTGCGAAGGTGAGGCACGAGACGCAGCATTGGAGGAAGACTTCAAGTGTTGGCGCCAATTTGCACATTATGGCGCCAAATAGTCGAACGTTGATTGGATCAAATTCACTCGCGCTGTGTGGCTTTTGCGTGGTGGTTCGAGAGCAGGTGGACACACCTTCGCACATCTATGTGGCGCACACATAGATGTGCTCTCGATTGGTCCACAGTAGTTGCGAACTGCTCAAGCTGCATCAGTGGATCCTGCTCCGAGGGGCCACCGAGTGAGTTTAATGACACTCACTGTCGATGGAAGCGCCTTTCTGTCCAACCTCTCGAATGCCGCCGTCGCTCAACGTTGGCGCAGAAAGGTACAAGTAGAAAACGCAGAGGTCAAAGGAGCTGGGCTAGACTGCTTCCTGGGAATGAAGTAGTATCAAGCACAAGCTTGATGTTCGAGCGCTCCTCAGTTGACAGCTTATCAGACTCGATAAGTAGTTGACATCAGATGTAAGGAGGCCTGAGACACTTGCACAATGTCACAGCGCCGAGTATGATCCTCGGACAACAATAAGAGTGATTACAGCTTTTACCGCGTGCGCGTCCGCTCTTGTGTCGTCGGCTATATATTCCTGTCTCACTTGTTACGAATCGTTTTTTATTCCAACATGAGGATCGCAGTAGACTTCAGGCAAGTGAACCGAACGTGTGCTCAAAGGTATGGCATAATAAAGTCGCGAAATGATATTATTCATGACTTATTGCATGCGTGTCAAACCGTTGAAGGCAGATATCAAAACGAAGCAGGATAGTATACTCGATGGTATGATGCATAGGAATGTGTTCACAGATCTTCTGTTTCCGTGCTTCTCACGCAAAAGTAGAAGCCAGCTGGAATCCGTGCGGCAAATGGTACTTTTGAAAATGATATAATTTGCGCTTTTTGAGGTTACATCATATCCGCTTTTTCCCGACATCTCAATGCTCAAAAAATTCAAATTCGATGCAAAAAGTGCCCATTTTCTGCTCAATTCCTCCGACCGCAATTATTTTCACATTGATCAGTTGTATTTTACCTAAATGCAGCTATTTACTGGATTCACCCGAACAAGCACCAAAGGGCGGCTACTTCGCTTGTGCTCTTGTAACGAGGCATCGACGACTACGTACTGGTCTGCCAGTACGTAGTAGTGGTTAAAGTGAAACTGTTTTATAATATAAATTAAGTCCTGTAACTCTTGTTCTTTGTTTGTACTGACTTAATATATTAATATAACAAAATGTATGATGACGTCTATCACCAACCATTGCGCGCGTCTAGCAGCGATTGGTAGGTAGACCCTTCGGTCATCTCAACAAAATCACTGTACTTCGTGATATTGTCAAAATAATATTCAATGTAATATTCTTTGTTACCATCTTAGTCCCAATGGTAACTATATGTAACGGGCTACCCCGTTACAGCTCTAGTATTCACGGTTCGCATACACTTAATTTCCAAATCGTCCTTCTTCAGACTCAAATATTGACACATGACTTACCCGTACCGTTCTTAAAGAATGTTTTGGCGTCGACCAGTCATTTTTAGGGTTGCCGATTCAACAACGGCGCTCTAATCGAACCAAGAGTAAGTTTACGATCGGAACACTCCTATTCATGTGAATATGCCTTCCCATGAGGATCCTTTGCTTAGTACCCATGTACGCGCAGTCAAAGCAATTTATATTGTTTATCAAAACTATTCCTCTCCTTGTCATATATGATCTACAATAATAATAACTTGATTGTATGAAAGTTGAAACGATCAAACTTTCGGAACTGACTGTATACAACTTACGTGGATAATGCTATCTATAATGGAATTCAAAGTACCATTATAGATGAAATTACCCACGTAAGTTGTATTTAGTCAGTGTACTTCGATTTGTAAGAATAGAGTCGATCTTACGCGTGCATAGAATTGTAGTCCTCTACGCTGAATGCTGGTATATGTATGAAACTGGTGTGCGCGACAAATGTATGTTTTACATGGTGTATCTCGGGTTAAAGTGTTACAGAGTTTATCACGTCAGATATGTCTTTTGCGCACGATTCAGCTAGTTATCAGATAGACCTTGGCGATTATCGCCCTGATTGATATCGGTCCAGTACAATTTATTAATCAAATCAAACCGGAAGGATACTCATTAGAAGATGTTACCTAGCTTCGTCGATCGGGTGAGCCGAGCGATGGATGCGTGTAAATGTGATGAAGCGATCAAGATTAGATAATAGAGGTTTGAATCGCGTGCCTCGGGTACGTCCGTGAACCATCTTTACTGGCGTAGTACAATCTGAGCGATACGACATTTCGCAACGATTAGATGGGATCGAGACGAATTAGGGATACGAAAAGCGGACAAAAGATCGATATGTATCACCCATTTGTCTTACGTGAGCGGATATGAGCGACAATCGTTCATCTATCTTTAATCGTAGTCCGCGATCCGCATATCGTGATCCCGCGAAACGGAAGAAAGAGTAGCAATTAATTATATAGACGTAATTACGCAACTAAATATAGAATATTGGTTTTTCACGATTTTCAAAAATGGACCCTAAATTTTTCACATCTTCACATATTTGAAATGGATGTAGATCATGTGTATTATAAGAAGTGTATGGGCAACACATGGTCGCTAATATCTAATTTGTAAGGTAAAACGGACCTAGTAGTATATTTCAAAATTGTTTGAGACAGGTCATAAATACAGGTTAAACCCCTTCATAAATTCATGTTTCTTCTTCCCAGATATATATTTGGTTCCCTTAAGTCAGAGCTTTAAAGCTTTACTCTCCAAGAAGAAATTTTATGATTGCTTGACCAGGAAAATGAGGGCTACTAACAACTCAACTGATATCGGACTCGATTACCCCTTATAGGTCACGGTACTAGACCGCGAGACGGCTCAAGTAGAAATATTGCACGTAGATCAAGCATCAACTTTAAGGAAAAGATGATCGCATGGTAGATTGGGATATCCAGAGTGTCCCCAGCGGATTAAGTATCAGCGTATAGAGAAAGCAATCTTACGCTCTATCGGGGTATCTCGAGCGTCCAACAGTGATCGCGACCGTATGATCAAATACGCACGATTAGAATTCTACCGTCCCAAAAGCGGCCAAGCTTATCATCTCCTCATGTCCACCAAGAAGCATTTGCCGACTAGCACACATGGCGATACAATTAGAACAAACGAAATCAAAGTTCCCACTCCAGGTCATTCCATCGTCTAGGCTCTAGACGACTGTCGGGAATACATCTGCATATTGTAAAGCTCCATTCTACCACATCGTCATTTAATATAAGGAACAAATACCGATTTGAACCTGAGTTGTAGTGATTGTTCAAATCAGGATCCTGATTTTAACTAAAAAAAGTACATTTTTGTCTGGAGTGAAGTCTCCACTAAAGTTTATACTATTGATCGATCGAGGGGATCAAAGAGAATTTTTGTGCGAGGTGAAGTGTGTTGAAGGAATGACAACGGCATCGCGCAGCTCCATTTGTGAATTTTGTAAGTGGAGAAGATAAAAAGAACCTTTGTTATGATGGTGTCTAAAATAACGCACAGAATCCATTTCGTTTCTAGTTTTACTGTACTACCCGGAAACGCCATAGTACTCAAGGTCGACAGTACTTACGTCGAAAATTTTATAGCTTTGCGCGTCACGCTTGCATATAATGATAACAAAACCAGCGCAAATAACATCAAGATTATATAATAATACGTGGAATGACCAACATGTATATTGCTACCGCCATCCAGCTCGTCAGTCACGGTGCTTGAATCTAAAGAGGTGTAATGTAAGATATAAATCAGACCGATTTGATTTTGGTATATGAGCTGATAGTTACCTTTCCATTCACAAAAATTAAAATTTGTACCAATGTAAAAGCTGACACTAGCTTTTCTTGCAACGAATTGTTACATTGAGCCATTTTTGTCAATTTTACGATGGCGCCACATCAGACTTCACTATTTAACCTCGACTGATCTATATCGGCGCGCATATTCTATTTTGGAGTTCAAAAAAGACTTACAAGTCTTGCGGGCAGATTTTAGATATCAGGCATTTCAATCACGATTGACACACCATGAATTGAGCTCAAGAATCATGGAGATCCTTGGATCGGTACATGTATCTGCGCCGCTTAATCACAGTGATAGACTGAAAAATGTTTTATATATCAAGAAAAACTAGAAGAACGCATTTACAAGTTAGGCCTTAACCCGGTTGATCGGCGACATCATTTACCCCGACACTTTATGCGTAGTCAGTTAGGTACTAAATGCAAGCAGATGGTATTCTGTGCTTGCTGTTAATTAAAATCGACAGGATGCAATAAAAATCAATAATGAATCATCAATGGAGCAAGCATAGTCCAAAATTACCTGGCGCTGTACAACCTTACGGGTCGTCTTCAATTGATCGATATTATAAAGTCTTACTGGATATGCAAGACGGCGGACCACAAAACGGTGGTCTGCATAGTGGATAAAGAGAATAAGAGCCGTGATGGGCAAAGAAATGTTGTCACCGCAACTGAAAGCACCAATCATACCACCAAACTTATGTCGTCGAACGTGCTACCACCGACAGATATTTAAGCAGATGTAGAGTGCAACAGTTCTACATTCGATGGAAGGGTTTACTGACTCAAGTCTCTGCTGAAATCTTCCCCCAATGACTTTTGTTGATCATGTATACATCATGTTTATAGACTATAACTCTTATTTATTCGCCTCGATATTGTGGCTGATGAACACCGCCGTTTCTCATTAGTACTGTAACGATGCCTTTTCCATGCTGAACTAATATTCAGCTCGTGATCGATTACTATACACGACACTTCGGTTCGAAAGCCATCAAAAAATCTTATGTATACCTTAGACGGTCGCAAGCAGAAGGGCACCTAATTCGTGATCTCATGTGTGCAG